TCGGAGACAGGAGATCTCAGAGATTGTCGACCCATCTAAATTCAGAGAATCTATGCCATGGCTTTTGAGGAAGGATATAATGAATATTTTGATATCATTCAAGTAGGCTTGACTGAAGACAAAAATCAGCCATAACACCCTACACTATCATCATAGATCATCATTCTCAAATATTGGTCCGGCTGACATTTTTTGATTACAGTATTGCAGTGCAAGTTTCAATTAGTGGAAAGAATCAAAGAATGATGGAGTCAGTCAAGTATCGAATAATTTCGAGTTTTAGATACGAAAATAAATCAATGAGTTTTTGTTTAGCTTGATCATCATTATAGGCATATTCACAAACCCCTTGTATTTGTTTGGCTACCTGAATGTGTAGTAACCACGCGTGGAAAACAGCATGAATTGAAGCTCAGTGGATCGTCTCGCTTTCAAGGCGCATATAGATATCAGGGGGCACATCACGTGACAATTGAGACAAAGACGCGTGGTTGTGTTATGCGCTTATGGTTTTTCTTTTTGCTTACATCATTAAACTAGAATGACGTCATGATTTGAGTTCTTATAAAGGGTCATCACTTTCATACAATTGTAAATCCCTTTTTCTTCATCGAACTCAAATCTTTTTCTCTTAAACAATCTTCATTTATCAGATTGTTTAATCTCATTCGATCAGTGTGTTAGCTTTTATAACAAAGCTAATAACCTGTCATTCACAGGTATCTCATTCAATTGGTTATGAGCCCAGCTCAACTAGCTGTATAATCACATCGCACCACACAAACTCAAAATTTGTTTTTTTGGCTATCGCACACGATCGATCGATTCATGTTCTTTCAACTCACTCACACATCGTCACTCTTAACTCTATTCTTCATTTTCACTGTTTCTTTCATCATCATGTCATCTTCCAAAACTCGACTTCAAATTGTGAAACTTGATGATGATAATTACCCTGAATGGAAGGGTGACATCACCGGAGCACTCATGTCGGCTACCTTAGACGAGTTCATTGACTCTGACGCCACCCCTGTTCCGGAACCACAAGAACGACCTGTGCCTCGTGAACAGAAAGTTCTCTATGAAGCCTACGTTATACGACAACGCAAAGCAGCGGGAATCATGTACTCTCATATGAGTCAACAATACCAAATCATGGTCGAAATCCAAGGTCTTATCAGTAAAACTTTAGACATCTGGCTCCTTATGAAGGAAAACTTTCAGTCGACCACTTCC